TGTTGCTGTGGGTCTTGGCTGGCAGAAGCTGATATTGATTAAACTCAGTGCCCAGCACTGTGCTGAGCTTTTTGTAAATTATTCTGTTGATTTTCATGAGCTGATAAGCTCTACTCCTGTTCAGTGTCTATTTTTACAGATGAGGAAACTACAGCTTTGAGAAACTAAAACTTTGGAGAAGTTGCTTCACTTCTCTGTACATGTTAACATCATCTGTAAACCAGGGGTAATAATAGGGTCTGCCTCATAGGATTGAGCCATGGACTAAGTCCACACTTATAAGACTAGATTCTGAGCCCTTCAGCTTCAGCACCTGAAGTCATACCTGTTAAAGGTGGAGACTTTGCAGTAAGACCCAGGGTGGTTGCAGCCACCAAGGCTGTGGTAAGGTGGAGCTATGTGTCTGCCCACCTCCTTTCACACCTCCTTTCTGGCTCCCAAGAGCTGCCAACTATACTCTTTTCCTCTAGGTCTTCTCTCCCCTTAACTCTCATTCTTCAAAACTATCTTTTTCTTTCTCTCCTTCAGCCTCAAGAATAACTTCTTCCTTTGGTTCAGGCGAAAGAATCATCCTAAATGAGCAATTATATACTGTGATATGAGTAGGCACCACTGGACTAAGAAAAAGTAGTTGTTAAAAGAAAGGGCTTTCTTTAGATCAACTTCTTGACCTCTCTTGCCTACTAGTCTCTTCAATGCACACTGGAAGTACTGGGCCTCACAAACTGAGCTCTGCCTGTCTCTCCCCATGCCCATGCCCCTTGGGAGCTTCTGCACCGATGCCAACTTCTGCTCGAGGGACATATAAAAAGTGCTTTTGTCCTAAGGAGTCTTTGTTCCATGATTGACTTGGAAGCTTAGGGAAACAAAAAGGAATTGAGATATGCACTGTATTTATAGGCAATAAAATGTTGTGGTTAAAAAAAAGGAAAGAACTTTGGGACACATAGTAAGAAAGTTCTGAACATTTTCCTTCAAGATGAGATTTCTGTTATTTAGTTTAAATATTCGACTTGGGCCCATAGTATGTAAGGAGATTAGGGCTGTGGTTAAAGAGAAGGCTGTATTTTAAGTCAAAAAATAGGACACAGTACAAAGGAAAATGACTGGTCCTGGTTACAATTTTGAGGCTAAACCATAAAATCAGAAATATGCCATTTTCATGTGCTTTAAAATTGTGTATCCAAACTTGAGATTTGAAAAGTGTGGGTTGAATTTGGTTCCCAGTATACTTGGGACAGTAAGATAAGCCACATTTCTGCGTGATGGGGGAGGAGTCTGGGCTTGTCTCAGTTACATGGGTTTAAAACAGAAATGTGAGACAAGTGGATTGGGTCAGTGAAGAAAAAAAGAATAAATCTAAAACTTAAAACAAAGGGAAGTCAATCAAAATGTGTTTGACTTATTTGACTGTGGAGAAAAGTTTCTACACCCTCAAGCACTGAAAGCAGCTGAGTTGATTTTCACATAACCTCAGGGTTCCAAGATTGAAGGGTACAGACGGAACAAAAAGGAAACTCATTATTTTCAGTTCATCTTATGGTGATGGGCAGATTTTTAACTAATTGGAATAGTAGATGAATAATAATCCCAAGTGATTTTTTTTCCTGTGTTGCATAAAAGATAACTTTCATGTTTGACCAAAAATAATGACATTTTTCAATTAAATGAATTTTCGTTGTGAGTGAAGTGGCCTCGGGCATGGGGATAGATAATGCAGGACCCCTCAGGAGGTGGTGATCTCTGCTACTGCACTCAGAAGGCTACGTGCCAGACAATCAAGGAGATCCTCCATTCTTGTTCCACTCTCCCCCAGGCTGATACTTGGAATGCCTTCTTTAGAAGTATGTCTTTGAATGTTTTTACATTGAAATGCTTCTGGAAGGGGAAAGATTTACCATTACCTTCCTAGGGAAAGTAGCAAATACGTGACTTTCCTGTTTTCCCTTCACAGCAGCTCTTGGTAATCAACCTCAGATTTCTTCCCACTATGCTCTGTTTCCAGAATCTTCTCTTCCGCACAGCTGTCCAGGAAGCCACTCCAGATTGATTCAATAGAACATGAAAGTTGACACCTACTTGACACTCCTAATTTTTATCTTATGTGAATGAGTTTATTAAATCAGCAAATTTTTCAGAGTGAGAAAGGAAAGAAAATTGGAAGAAGAGAAGTCACCATTAAGGGGGTTTTCTGGAAATTGAACCCAGGGCTTTGTGCATGCAAGGCAAGCACTCTACCAACTGAGCTATATCCCCAGCCCTATCAATAGCCTTTTACAGAGAAAGATGTCTCATATATCTACTGCTAAGTGCCGTATACCATTATTAGCTTTTTGCATTAATTTTGCCATGTTTTCCTTCACAGCAGCTTTGGAAAGGAGGTGAGAAGGGTGAGAAAGGGAGAGAGAGGTCTCAATTGTACCTTAGAGGAAAGTAAGCTTCCATGACTTGAAATGACTTGTCCAAAGTTAAAGTGCAAAGCTATGACACAGATCTCAAGTCCCTGTCTTTCCAAAGCTGTGACACAGAACTCAAGTCCCTGTATTTCCAGTGTACACTGCAATTTTATACATAGTTTCCAGAGTTACATAGAATTAGACCAAAATGCATGTCCTAAGAATCTTCTCGTGGTAACCTACATTTTTCAGGCCTATCTCCTTAGCAACAAAATTCAACAATAATTTAAATGGACTAAGAACTAAAATTTCTATTTGTTCAATCTTTGTTATTTTAACTTGGTGAACAATAGCACAGTTCCCTGGAGATGATAAAAAAAAAATCCAGATATTTTCCCAGTCTGAATCATTTGAACTTAAATTTTCCTTGTGGGTTTTCTTCTGTGATATTTTACTATTCATGTTTGTGGTTAAATTGTCTAATTCATTGCATATGTTCATCTGACAAAATTAACTGAAATGGTTGGAGGAGAGAGATCTTGCTATAAATATCCCAACCTGGCTAAAGAAATAATATCATTGAGGATGGCACAATCAATGATTTTTAGCAAGTACAGTAGCCTTATAGATACAATTGCTAAGTTATTGATTAGATCAGAGATAGATAGATGATAGATCTATCTATCTATATATATATGTCTAAGATATGTCTGAGATATATATTATTAGTAAGAGCATATATATATATGTATATATATACATATATATATATATACATACATATATCTATCTATCAGACATAAGACTGATTATGTATTGGGTCACTTTGAATGTTCCTAATAAGTATGGGGTCATTCCTTTTATCTTTAAGTTAACCTTCTGAGAGATAATTTCAGCATCCCTTTCCAATCAGGAATAGCAAACCTATTTTTATAGTGAGTCTTCTGTAATGTCGTGCTGTTGTTTAAGAAAGTTAGTGAAGGCTGGGACTGTAGCTCAGTGGCAGAGCACTTGCTTCCCATGTGTGAGGCACTGGGTTTGATCTTAGCATCATATAAAAATAAACAAATAAAGGCATTCTGTTCATCTTTAACTACCAATTTTAAAAAAAGAGTCAGTGGGTATTTATTGAGTGCCAACCTACTGTATGCTAATGTCATACCTCAATACTAGTAAGAATGCTAAAGGGAAAATGACAGCCAATGTTGCTTAGTGTTGAGAAAGCTAGGGAAAGCTTCCACAACCCCTGTTCCCCGCTGCCATGCACAGCCACAGTGTGCTGGGCAGCGTCTCTGATGTGATCTCCACAGCTCACATGCATCCTCTAATGCTCTTATTAATAATAAGTCCATGCCACTTATTAAGGGCCAGACCTCCTGTCATACACTTCACAGTAATTCATTTAATTCTCTTTATAACCTTAGAAAGTAGCTACTCCATTTTATAGTACAGAAATTGCTAGTACTGTTCTGCATCAGTATATTTAAGCTATACTTAGGTCTGAGTTAGAAGTTCTTGTAATCCAGGTAGGAGCAGGTACATGTTCTAATAGAGGGATGCAGTGTGATTGATAAGAGAGAATCTGGTAAATCTTCGAAAGAGTAAATAGAACCAGATATGTGACTGGATATGGACTCTGAGGAGAGGGGGCATGCCAAAGAGCTCCAGAGGTCACTAACTTTAAAGACCGATCAAATGATGGCGTGCCCCCAGGCAGTGGGGTATTTGAGATGGGAAGCAGTTTAGGGGAAGTGGTCAGGAGTTCAGCTTTGATCTGACTAATCAAAGTGATGAAGTCAACTCCAAATTGATTGGTATAACCCACGGATGTGATGAAAGGGCAAAACAGTGTGGCATGGTGGTCAAGTCTAGGATTTAGAATGAAAACCTCTAGAGTCAGTGTTAGCACCTCCATGACCCTGTGTACTCTTATCCAAACCTGTTTTCTTACCTGTTACTGGGTTCCTATTATAATCAACAAAAGAAAATTTAGAGTTAAGGTGAGATACCAAAGGTTAGACAGCTAATGAAAAGCAGATTCCAGGTCATAAACCTAAATGAACTATCTTTTAAAATGTGTAATCTGATTGCTATCTATTCTGGGAGAAAGGAATAATCACATTCTTAAGTCAGAGCTAGTAAGACCCTATCATGTCATCCAAATCAGGACACTTTTGAGTAAAAGTGAGTGCTATTAATAAATACATTAAAAAGACAGGCATTCTAGTGCAATTGTGGAAGTCCAGGAAAGAAGTACAAATGATTACATTACTTGCAGCCACCAGAAGAGATACTTTTGAAATCCTGTTTGTAGAAACCACAGGTATGGTTTCCAATTTTGAATAAACGTAATTCTGGGTGGAAGAGGGTATATTCAGGATGTGTTTTCCAGCTGGGCTCCTTTGTATACAATGATCAGTCTCCTCTCATCTCTTCCTCAGCAATGTTCCTCACCCCACAACTACCCCTTGGCCCACATATGACACTCAAACCACTGTGATTATTCATTTGTTTAGAAGGAAAAGGGGTGACTTCATTGCATTAATACATCTGGTGTTGTCTCCGTTGTCTGATATTTGCTCATTGCTGATTGCTGCCTGGTAGTTGCTCCGCTCTGCTGCTGATTGGTCTGCTGGCATAAAGTACCATGAAGAGTCCATCCATGCTGCTTACATCTATGTGATAGAGAACAGCAAGCACTATATCTACATTGAAGTAAGTCCTGCTCATGTCACACATTGTGCGAAACTGTCTGCCCAGAAATGTCACTGAGACCACAGGTTCAGGACCTGCCATATTAATATGTGCTGTAGAACTGTGAAGAGTGCTGGAGAACTGCTAATTCCCATCACCTGAGTATTGATCTCCCCTGAAATTCACTCTGCATTGTCATTGACTCAAGCTTATAATGGGGGTCTCCCAAATCCATGTTATTAAAATGTGTCAACTCACTGTAATATTGTTCGCCAAAAATACCCCAACATGAATGTGTCAGTTTGGATTTGGCTTGGTTGGAGGGCTGAGATGTGAGGCATGTGCTATTTGAGGTCAGCACACATACAGAGAGACATAGTAGCTAAAGAGACCATGCAATGTCACTGGTTTGGGGATGTTGGACTATGGAGAGTACAGGGAAATGAACATGGAAAAAGAAGATGTGAGATTGTTAAAGGCAGGAACCACCTTCTTCAATCCTCTGTGAACTACCATTCATTAGAAAGGGTTTTCATTCCCAGAGTTTGTGTGCAGAGTATATGAGAAAATCTGGGAACACTGAGTTTAGTCTAGGAACTTTAATTGCACTTCAAAGTGAACATAAAAATAGTTCAGGGCACTTGGAAAACCCTGAGAAAATAAAAAGTCCCAATAATGGAAAAAATACATCAGAGTTCATCTCCCTTCCTTATTCTAACTTTTTTTCCCCATTGAATAAAATGGTGAAAGGGAGGTGGATGAACAGGAAAGAATCATTCTAGCTCTATTTTCTTTCTCCTTGAGTGCTTGCCTACTCCCTCTGCATACTGTGACAATTCATTAAAGACAAACAGCAAAGAATTGGAGCCTTATTTATTTTGCAGGCCTGGAGAAAGGAAAGGCTAATTTAAAATATTAGCAGGCTAAATGCAACATGATATCCTGACTGGGATCATGACATAAAGAACATTAGTGGGAAAATTAGTGAACTCTGTACAAAGTCTAGAGGATAGTAATGCCATTAGTACTATTGCCTTTGACAGTTGTACCATAGTAATTTAAGATGCTATAGCTGGCTCACTCTTTTTTAGTAGTTTTCATGTTGCCTTTTTTAAAACACTAGCATGGCATTAAATGGTGTCAGTAGTGTCATGTAGGTACACATGGTAATGCCATGTAGGTACCCATGATCTTGGACATGGGCCAGGTTGACACTCCTCTAGTCAAGGTAAGGTAGCATTCACTATATTCCTCCAAAAAGAAAAGAAGTAAACATTTTTTCATGTACTTATTGATTGATTGTATGTCCTCCTCTGAGAAGTGTCTGTTCAGGTCCTTGGCCCATTTGTTGATTGGGTTGTTTGTTCTCTTATTGTCTAATTTTTTGAGTTCTTTGTATACTCTGGATATTAGGGCTCTATCTGAAGTGTGAGGAGTAAAGATTTTGCAAATCAAAACCACCCTAAGATACCATCTCACTCCAGTTAGATTGGCAGCCATTATGAAGTCAAACAACAACAAGTGCTGGCGAGGATGTGGGGAAAAGGGTACACTTGTACATTGCTGGTGGGACTGCAAATTGGTGCAGCCAATTTGGAAAGCAGTATGGAGATTTCTTGGAAAGCTGGGAATGGAGCCACCATTTGACCCAGCTATTCCCCTTCTCGGTCTATTCCCTAAAGACCTAAAAAGAGCATGCTACAGGGACACTGCTACATCGATGTTCATAGCAGCACAATTCACAATAGCAAGACTGTGGAACCAACCTAGGTGCCCTTCAATAGATGAATGGATAAAAAAAATGTGGCATTTATACACAATGGAGTATTACTATGCATTAAAAAATGACAAAATCATAGAATTTACAGGGAAATGGATGGCATTAGAGCAGATTATGCTAAGTGAAACTAGCCAATCCCTAAAAAACAAATGCCAAAAGTCTTCTTTGATATAAGGAGAGTAACTAAGAACAGAGTAGGGTCAAAGAGCATGAGAAGAAGATTAACATTAAACAGGGATGAGAGGTGGGAGGGAAAGGGAGAGAGAAGGGAAATTGCATGGAAATGGAAGGAGACCCTCAGAGTTATACAAAAGTACATACAAGAGGAAGTGAGGGGAAAGGGAAAAATAATACAAGGGGGACAAATGAATGTCAGTAGAGGGGGCAGAGAGAGAAGAGGGGAGGGGAGGGGGGATAGTAGAGGATAGGAAAGGCAGCAGAACACAACAGACACTAGTATGGCAATATGTAAATCAATGGATGTGTAACTGATGTGATTCTGCAATCTGTATATGGGGTAAAAATGGGAGCTCATAACCCACTTGAATCAAATTGTGAAATATGATATATCAAGAACTATGTAATGTTTTGAACAGCCAACAATAAAAAATTTAAAAAAAAACAAACAAAAAAAAAAAAAAGAAAAGAAAAGAAGTAAAGGACATGACATGTGGCCAGTCTGTGTTCACAGCTGCAGAGGAATGCTAAACTCCTTTGTATTATGAATTAAGAAAACAAAAACATGGTTTAGTTACCATTGGGATTTCATTTGCTTAATGCCCTACAGCAAACCACAGTCTCAAATGAGTTCCTGCACAGTGTCTTCCTATAAGTTTTTCTTCTCCTGAGGCATTTTGCAGATTTGTGTACTTTAAGTGTAAACATTTGTGAGTCATAAAAATGATATTGCTACAAAACAGAGGGTAATCATATTTTGAGTTATTGCTTCTAAATCTTCATACCTCAAGATGATTAACAAATATTGCTTCAAGATGATTGTCCGTAGAAATTACAGTTGCATTATAAGAATCTGGATTCTATTTGAACACATAACATTTACATTTAATTTTTTGACATCCCCTTATGCAGCAACAAAATCTTTTCCACCATTATGATGATAGTGCCATAGCTGAGTTTCTAGTAATAGTTTTAAAGGATGTTTTATAGATGCATGAATACCAGAAGTACTCAGAGAACTATTTCTTTTTCCATTTTATTAGTGTATATATGTATGTGTATATATGTGTATATATTATATATGTATATACATACAACATACTAACAAAAGAGATTTGAAAATACTTAAAATAGATGTTCAGGGATAATCAGAGGACTCATCCTCCAAAAAAAAAGAGAGAGAGAAACAACATGAAAGTAAATTCAAGGAAATAATGGAGAAAGGTGTAGAGAATTAGATCTGTAGTCTACCTTGTTAAAAAAAAAAGTAAATTTAGTATGAGACAGGATGTGTATCAATATAGAATTTTTAATCATAAGCATTTATATAATATGTGAATCTGAAAAAAAAAACCCTAATTCTGGAATATTCTATGTTCTAAGAATGTAATTAAAAGTTTGAGGGTGAAGTAACAGTGCAGCCTGCCCCTTGAGGAGGGTGTTCTTAGTAATCAAGGACCTAGACTGTGCATGAGACCCGGAATCAGATGGTTGTGCTTTGATTCTGTGTCATTTACTTTCCCAATGTGATTCCAGTGGTCAGAACACAGCTGCTGTGTGACACACTTTTTTAAAAGTACAAATGTAATTTTTATTGACTACATTTTCCTTAGACTATATGTAAACTACTAAGAAAGGAATGCCTTCATGATGGCCCCATTTTTTTTTTTGCTCACAGAACCAATTTTTCATAAGCTGTGCTGATGACAAAGTAGTATTCAACAAAATAGGCGATGCAATCGCCCAGCGGATCCTGAAAGCGCACAGGTAATGTTTTGACTTTTATTTTGGGGAAGTTGTTGATGCAGATGTCCTTATTTCCTATGAACATGACTTTTCAAAGCCCATTTTTAAAGGGCTGTCATTTCCTGCTAGACTTGGAATGTGGTCCAGCCAGTGGTAGGTTGTTGTTTGCTTTAATCTGAGTCACTAAGAATTTTTGAGTCCATTTTGGTGGGACAAATAGGATGTCCAGTCATTTTTTCCTGGCCACACTCTTTCCCATGCATGAGATTTGTGGTTTGATTTATTTAATAGCAGACAGTGATCTATGTTCACTTATAAACAAAGCAAAATAAACATCTTTTGCCATGGATTATATTTAAATTCTTGTTCCCATCTGTCTTATGTCTTCAGCTCATGGGATTATTCCTTAAATAATAGTTTTATTGAGTTAGAATCCACATCCTAAGTAACCACCCACTTAAAAACTGTACAGTGTACCAATCTTTAGTATATTTCTAGAGTTGCACAACCATCACCTAATCAATTTTAGAATATTTTCATCATTCCAGGAAAAAAAATGCCTTTGGTAGTCATCGCTTGTTGCTTTCTTTCCTGAGCCCCCTTAAAATTCCCAAATCTACTTTTGTTTTTTGTAGATGTGCCAACATGAGCATTTCCTATAAATGGAATCATTTAATATATTGTCTTTTATGAGTGATTTCTTATAGCTCATCTATGTCATAACGTATCAGTGTTTTCATCTCTTTTTAATGCCAGCTACTATTCCATTATATGGATATACCACATTTTATTTGTCCATTTGGCTGCCATGAATAACATTGTTAGAGATGTTCTGTACTAGGCTTTTTCTTTTGCTTTGTTTTAGAGATTCACTGTGGTATGTACATATGTACATAGGCGAGTTCGGTCAGATTCATTCCAACATTTTTCACTTTTCCTGTCCCTCTTTCCTCCTTCTTCTACTCCACTCTCTCTTCTATTTTTTTATGGGATTCCCTTTCCCCCCTTTTCCTTTTGCTTCCCCCTCCCATCATTTTGGTCTCACTTCTGCATGTCAGAGACATCTTTAGTGGTTTTATGCAAACATGTTTTTGTTTCTCTAGGGGTAAAATTGCTGGGTCATAATGGTAACTCTCTGTTTGACATTTTAAGGAACTGGTAGACCTTCTTCCAAAGCAACTACACCATTTTACATTCCTACAGTGTATGAGCTTCAATTTCGCTATATCCTTGTGAATTCTTATTATCTCTCTTTCCATTTTAGTTATTCTAGTATGTATGAAATAGCATCCCAATGCAGTTTTAATTTGAATTTCTCTAATGATTAATGATGTTGAGCATCTTTTTGTGTGTTTATTGACCATATACGTATTACTCAGCTACCTTGCCCATTTTTATTGAGTTATTTGACTTTTTATTGTGGAATTGCCAGTTCTTTAAATATTCTAAATACAAGTCCAATATAGGATACATGATTTTCAAGTATTTTTTTCCCATTCCATGGGTTGTTTTTTTTTTTTTTTTTTACTTTCTTGATGATATTGTTTGAAACATAGACATTTTAATATTGACAAAGCCCAAGTTATCATTTTTTTTTTTTATTTTCTAAGAATGATCAGTGGGGTTGTGGCTCAGTAGCAGAGCACTTACCTTGCATATGTGAGGCACCGGGTTCAATCCTTAGTACCACATAAAAATAAATAAACAGGGGCCAGGGTTGTGGCTCAGGGGTAGAGCACTTGCCTAGCATGTGTGAGGCACTGGGTTTGATCCCTGGCACCACATAAAACTGAAAAAATAAAATAAAATAAAGGCATTGTGTCCATCTACAACTAAAAAGAAAATCAAACAAATAAATAAATAATCAAAATAAAGATATTATGTCCATGTAAAACTAAAAAATATTTTTAAAAAGAATAATCAGGATCGAGAAAATTTATGCCTCTTTTCTTCTTATAACTTTGTAGTTTTTAGCTTATATATCTTTGATTCATTTTGAATTATTTTGTGTATATGGTGTGAATTAGGGGTTCATCTTCATTCCTTTGCCTATGGATGTGGAGTTGTCCCAGCTTTACTTGTTGAAAAGATCTTGAATTGTCTTAGTATCTGAGAGTATTTCTTTATATGGCTGATTTTAGCTCTATGTAAAAGTAGCAGCCTAAGAAAGCAAAACCATTTGTTTCGTTAGTTTAAGTCATTGAATGCATCAGTGAAGAAATTAATTAAACATGTTATAAATTCATATGTATTTATACATATTTGGGGATCCAAACATTTTTTTTTTTACTTTTACTGTCATGTTGTACCTTGATAACTTTCTTTCACACATTATGTGATTATTTTTAGCTTAAAAATATAACTGTGACTCTCAACATTTTATATGATTTGTAGTTTATATTTCAGCATGATCTTGCTGAATCTTCACAAATAATCATGATAGTAGGTTATGTAGCCATTGCTGTTTTTCTTGTTGCTGCTCCCATTTTAAGAATTAAAAAACTGAGATTCAGGAGGTTGTATGACTTGTCTAGGCCACTAACAGCCTTAGGCAAAACCAGCTTTGAGCCCACCCTCGCACTTTTTTGACCCAGTGACTCCCCAACGCCATGTAACCCTAATTCGTAAGCGGTTAGGTATTTACCTAGGCAAGTGGATCAGTCCTCTGGGTTTTTTTCCCCACTTTGACCACTCATTAGATGCAGGCTGACCCCAAGGGGACAATCTTGAGTGAGGCAGGTCCCTTTGGCCTAAGGAGGGCAACAGCTGGAGAAAGTCAGAGGCCAACCTCTTAGCAGCTGAGTGGTTGGATGGGTGGATCCTACCGTGAGGAGCAACTATATATAGTACCACATATATATATATAGTTATAGTTATACCATATATATATATATATAGGCAGCAACTATAGTATCCACCCCATACTACAGGGTGCATAGTGGATCTCACCCTTGATTGCACATCGAAATCACCTTTGGACCTTTACAAAATTACAAAGAGCTAGACTCAACTCTAAGCTCACTGGACCAGAATTTCCAGGAAGAGGGGTGCAGTCACCTGAATTTTATAATGCTCCAAAGATGACTGCAGGGCACAACTACTACGATTGTTTTGTCTCATCTAGGATAGCAGACACAGCTATGAATATCAATGGTGGCCTGTGTTTTAAAGGTAACCTTTATGCCTTGCCTTCTCATGTGCTTTTAAAAGAGATTCCTCCTAGGATCTGTTTCTGAAATGACTTAAAAACAACCTTGTTTATAGTTAAACATACATGTACATCCAGAGATTTCTTGCATTCCTTGCCAGTCTTCCAATTTTATGGGGTGATTTATGTTTAATTTACAAATTTGCATTATTTTTCTATCGACTCTTGCATTTTGTTGATGCAGGTGCATCTGCTTTATTTATGAAGCACGTTTGGTAAAGAAAAAAATGTTAGGAAATTAGAGTTAGTCACAGACATACATTAAGCTGACAAATGAGTTCATTGAGCTGAGCAGCACATCATGAATTTTGGAACTGTAATCAGCTATGTAATCAGCTAATAAGTAGAGAAAGATGCACTTGAGTTATTATTATTTCCCTATAAGTGTGTGGTATAATGAGAACCTGTAAGATTTGTTTTTAAGGGTTTGGGAGCCTGAAAAAATATTTTTCTTTGCCATATTAATTTGTCTCTAAAAATCTGGACTTCTTCTAAAATCATAAAATGCTAGCATTTCAGGGTGGGAAGGAACTTTAAAATATTTTCTAATCCCAAGAGCTGCTCCTGAAAGAAAAAAATTCTGTGATGAAAGAGTATGGTAAGTTGTAGATGATATCTCATGCTTGGAGGTTCACAGGGCACATTAAAGACTGGCAACTTCAAACTTTCCTTGTAGAAAATTGGATATGAGCGCATCCTATTTCAAATTAGCTGTATGTTATCAAGCTCTGATTTCTCAACAGTCTCACTTTCTGTAACAATTTCAAACTGGCACAAGTCTTACACATGCAGATTTTCAACGGACACACACAGACACCATGAAAACACATTTTCTCCTTTTCTCTTCATTTTCACAGTATTGTTCCTCTTCTGTGGTAATTGCCACTGTAAAACATTTTTTCACTTAATAACTTGAATGCTGTGAGCTTGTAATTCTTAGGCAAAGTCAAAGCCGAGTTTTAAAGCTCATCCTGCTGGCTACCTGCAGTGGGGCATCTCCTTTTCACTAATTAGGGGTCTGGACATGTCATCTCCAAGCTTACCCCCTCTTCTCTCATAGAGTTCTCTGCTCTTCTGAGACTCAGAAATTCCCTGCCAAAGTCACATTCTTAGCAACAAGTATAATTTTGGCTGTTGAAAAAGAAGAATCCACATAGCAGACAGAAGGAAATGACAGTCAGCAGTCAGCCAGGCCTGACCAAGGAATGCAGATCCTCTTCCAGGTCCCTCCCTCCGGAATCTTATGTTGCCAAATCCCTCAACTGGTCTGAGTCTTTCTTTTTCTGCCAGTGTTGGAACCTAGACTCACACCAGTTCCCTTAAGCAATTTTTTCACTCCCCTCACTTCCTTCTGGTTCCTTCTTGATAGCCATAATTCTTTATAGAAACTGGTTTTTACAAAGCCTCCCTGTTCTGATCCATGACCCAGAGTTTGAACTAAGAGCATCAGGGAAATCACTACAGAAAACATGTCTGATCAAATAAGGAAAAGAGTCTTAGAGTCGAGACCAGCTCCCCATCCACTTCAAATCCATCTTAGACAGCTCAAATGAGACTGGAAGTCAGGAAGGGGAAATCTAACCCATTATCTAAAATCAACTGTTTCATCCTCTGTTTGAATAAGTCAAAAGACAGAACAGGGCCAACTGATCCAGATAGAAACATTTTAAAACACTGTGTGCCATGAACAAATGGCTTCTAAGGATAATCTCAGATCTTTACTTATAGAAACTTGACACGCATCATTTTTCTGCCCTGGTAGAAAGTCAGGAAGTGTGACAGAATATTTCATATTGTGATCACCAAAAATTTG